AAGCTCTTCTCACGTGGGCTTGTTCAAGTGCCGTTGGATGCCACTGTTGTTCTGGGCTCAGTTCGAAATATCTGCTAATGAGAGTGCTGGCAACTTTCCTCTTCACACAATGTTCCTCTTCAAATCGAGCAGCAGGAAGTCATCGGTATGTGTTCGCTTGTGAAACACCTCAGTGACGTACATTTTGTCCCTTCTCGTGATTGTGCACTAATCGATTACACTTTCTCGTCATATGTGTGCTAGTAATTATGAATTATAAACAATTTTCTGTTTGATTTATCTGTGATACGGCGTTCAATTAAGAACACGAGGCGCTGGGTATTCGGTACTGCGATATCCCACCAACATAAGTCGTTACACGATGATCAAACATGACAGGGATCGTTTAAACTCGCCCAATCGTTGTCGCCACAAACTGCTGGAATTAGCGCCGAACAGATGGAGGTCTGATGGATTAAACAGTCTGCTTTACCAGCTAATAGACGTGCAAACGAACGAACTCTACGTCAGGCTGCTTATTGACGCATTGCCGAATCTGACTTTTACAAGGTTTTGCTGAGATTCGCGAACCTGTTTGTTGTTACCGATTCATGTTCCTCCCCTGCGCAACTGTTCTATGAGTGCGAAACGTGCCTGCCGTTGTGCATGTTCTTACAGGTACGCTTTGTAACCTCAACCTGCAAAGATGAGGTGAATCTTTCCTTAAGTGTTTCATCATTAAATATGGATATGTTGGAGCGATTACGACAAAAATAAACTCTAATGCTAACGCTGTGCGCTGCAGCAATTGTAGACGACTACAAACCGTAGCGTAGAGGACATCATGGCATCGGCGTTCACAAACTCATCGGAGGAAGACGCTTATTGGATTGGACTCATTGAAGTTACATGCTCTTTGTTCAATACTTATTTCGGCGGCAAAATATGGAGCACGATGAACTTTTTGTATTTCCACAACCAACAGCAATGGGAAGCTTTTGCTGCAGTGCTGGTTTCTGTTCCGTGCAAGAAGACAGAACTGCGGACATGTACTTTGATATGTTGTTTAATAAAATAAATGATGAATACGAAATAAATATTTTTGTGTTTGTTTACGCTTCCTTTTGTGTCTAAACATAGTGATGCGAATGCTGACTGTTTCGAGACTGTCTAGAGGTTGAAAATCAGTCAGTAAGTTTGGATGGCCACTTATCCTTTCAGGTCGCGGACGCAGCACCGTCAGAAAGTGTCATTCCGTGCTGGGGTCTGCGACATGAGTATTGAGTTGGACCTGAGGCTGAGGCACTTTTCCCAGGTGATTTATGGCTTTCCCTTAGGTCTTCGGCTGCTCGGGCAAACGAGTTGCTTTGTCTTCCTTTCCAGAAGCATTCACAGTATGTGTCAAAACCATCGTAGCTATAACTTGTCAATCTGGAGAGGTAGTGGTTGTGTACCAGGGCACTTCCAGATATCTGAACTCCGAACTACGTCGAGACTGGTCAGCCCAGTGAATTGTGCAAGAAAGCCCATTTCAGCCGCTAGTGCCCGGGATCACATTTTCTCATCGCCAACAACTCACGGCCGTAAATAAGCATAGGGATGAAGATTGACGTTAACACAAAGAACTCAGTTTTCAGACTCTTCACAGACTTTAACCCAACGGCTGTTCGAGCCAGTTCACGCAGAACGCCCTGGTCATCCCGGTTCGATGATCGACAACGACTCGAAGTTTTCCTGTAATTCTCCATCACCGGGAAACACGACTCTAACAGAGTGAACTTTTTTACTGTTTCATTCCTCTCCCACTCGTCGACAAAGCGCAACTGTTGAAATTCAGTAGTTTAGAAGTTTCTGCTGTAGCTTCAAGGCTTTGTGGATGCCTTTAATCTAGAATATTCGTCAAAGATCTGCGATACAGTACGATAAAGAGGTATCCAGCTTATATATTCAATCTGGGGCGGGGGGGGGGGCATAATGACTTTTGCTGCAACTAGAAACCTTGCCACACCAGATTGTATTCTCACGACCTCTGCATTTGTCATAGAATGATCTTAATCTGACGCTTAGGTGAAA